CCATAGCGAGGGCAATAAATATTCCATTTAAAATTATTAACTCCGAGCATTTTTGTCCAAATTGCAAACCATATTGAAATGATTTGCATAAATGCGCAGTAATAGCAGGTGAACGAGGGTGATTGAGAGACCAGGACATGATATGGGATGTCCGCATATAAAATAGTTTGTGGAGATTTAACGTGCCATATAAATTCAATATGTAAGTGTAAACTTAAAATTAGTGGAAGTTTGCATATATCGCACGAACGTGTATAACATCTAATATGCATAAGCATATGGAAATGTGTAAGGAATTTTAAATTACAACGATATCGGTAACCGTATCGCGGGAACCTGACAAAAGTATGTAATTCCCTGTTAATTCATTCATATTTATATGGCATATTCTATAAGTTGTGTTTATAACCTGTTGGTATGCGGTGTCGTGCGAATATATGAATGACTTAATATCAATTTCATATTTGCATTGTCAGGGACGCACCCTCAGCTATGCGTACGTTTACATAAGTAAATGACAATTGAATACAGATTTATATGTTCTTTCTATGAATGGGCCACTGCCGAACGATGCCCTTTTTTCTTTTGTTATTAATGTTGCTCATATAATACGCGGTTATTGTTCGAAATATCTGCATGTACGTCGCATAGTTGCCTTGACGTGCTAAATTGGAATGCGGAATTCGGAGGCATTAACATTATTTGAAAACAAAGTTTAATGCTTTTTGACACATTGACACATTAACGGTTCCAGTTAGAAACGTATTTGGAAATCTTCTCCGAAATTTTACTCTAATACATATTAAAACAATACAATTTTTGAATAAAGTGAAGCAAAACTAATTGCCATTTTTGGTTGAATGGCGATTTGGAATACCTATGTAGCGATATTACAACTTCTCTTCAGCAATGTCACCATTATTGCAACTCTAAAAAAGTACAGGGTTTTAACTTTTGATGTGGTGATCTAATTGTTGTTTTGATTACAGAACAAAATCTGTCCTATTTTATTTTATTTTATTTTATTTTATTTTATTTTATTTTATTTTATTTTATTTTATTTTATTTTATTTTATTTTATTTTATCTTATTTTATTTTATTTTA